AACCATTTCCAAACCTGAGTGGAGAGATGCATCATGACAGTAACCTGTGTTTTGCTAATGGCCTTTTGAAACACTACATGTAACTGATAATCTTCTAGAGGTAATAAGTCTCTCGATGTTGAGTTTCTAAACTAAGCTAGTGCTTAACACACCTTGCCAGTTCTTTGACATTCCATTTCCATGTGGTGTCCGGTTCAACAAATTTGATGTGGTAACCGTACTTTAAGGCCTATAAAAAGATAATAAAATGCAAACTTAAAGGCTTGATCAAACGAAAATTGAACATTTTAACTCTCACTGTCTGGTAGATCACCATTTCTCATTTCACTGTCTTGCAAAACAAACTGTGCACCAGCACTCGTTTTGAATCAGAGTTAAGTAAAGGGCACCTTGGACAAGGCCGATTTGAAGCTGCTCAAATTTCCATGAGGGAGCAAGAGCTTTGTTAATTACATTGGAGAGGCTCATACAGTCAAACCTTCCATAAGCGGCCCCCCAAGATGCCAAGCCTAGGTAGTTGCTTATGGGAGGTTGTCACTTACTTGAGCTTAAACATATTGGGTCACAATTTTGCCTCATTAGCATAAGGTAACTACAGAGACTTACCCCATGGTTTAAAAGTTTTATTCATAAGAGAATTAGTCAATTTCGAGAAAAATACATTACTTCCCATTGAGAAATTTCCCTCTTTTGTATTATCCAGGAATACAATGTTACAACACCTTATTATCCAATTTCTGCTTTATTATCTGTCAAGTGGTCGCTTACAGGAGTTTAAAAACGAAAGCAAATTTCAAATATTTAGCTCTAAAAGTGGTCGCAGTCACTTATGAGAGGTGGTCGCTTACAAGAAGTTCCAAATATTGTGATTTGACTCAGAAACGTTTGGTATTTTGGAAAACTGGTCGCTGAGGAGAGGTAGTCACTTACGAGAGGTGTTCGCAACTGAAGGTTCGATTGTAATGCCAACTGGAGCTCAGACACTCTCAGCATGGTTGAAAACATGCTGAATATACATGTGTTCAGTTGATAACAGTAACTCTTGTTCAACTCTGTTCCATCAGCTCCATGATCCCATCGACTCTTACTTTCAGTATGGATTGGAAACAGGTAAGAGCATAAAAACCTTTCAATGGTATTTTAACACCTTTTGACTTTTGGAGAAGAACATGCACTGATACCATGACAGCAAAATGGCCTTTTATTATTAAGCTATATAAATTCTCTTACCATAGACACATAAGGCTTCATCTCCCAAGCCTGAGTGTTGGTGTTGTCAATGATGACTGGAGATTGATGTTTTTCTAAAGCACTTTTAGCTGCAAGAAAAGAAACAACAAACCGTGTTTTATCTTTGATTGCCACATCACTCTTTCAGATTTTAATGTTCAAAATTCCATCTCAAAATGAAGGCAATGTTCAGCTGATTGTTGAACTGTTAATTATGTCAGTCATTAACAACATTTTTTCCAGGACACACAGAACAGTATTTTTGATGAAATTTGAGGTGTTTGGATAGTGATGAAACACTGTCTTGAGTGTTTGATATATCTTCTCAAATGAAACAAAAACAAAGGAGTACACGGAGAAGTAAAATCGTTAAAGTCTATGCCAATTAAGACCGGGTGTACAAACCTCCTTCACGGTTGTGATTTTCTTTGTTTTAACTTGATGAATTATTAATGAGTTTGAGAAAAAACAATCACAATGACCAAGTTTTTTTTTAACTTTGATGATGTGGAAACTATTGACTGCTTTTCTTAGTGGTCACAAAGATTGTTTCTGGAAGCTGAAGCGTTACTATGGCATCTGATTTGCCTACGGATTTTTAATACGGAATTCCATTACCCAATACCATTACAGAATGGCATTAATGAATTCCAGATATTTATACATGTACAGGCTATTCCGAAGAGAGGTTCTCATGCCCTGTCAGCTCAAAAAGCCTGCTACTTACATGTTACAAGCTAGGTTCTTTTGTGCAATGTACATAGATCTACACAGTGTTTGGTTATAGTTTTCAATAGAAATAACCCATTTTGAAGCTTTTTTTGGTCAGTGACAACAATATTTTTTATGATACCACAGGATACCAACCATTTACTAGTGTAAAGTTTCTTACTCAAGAAAATCACAGGGGAATCTGCCAGGCAGGAGCTCAAGTGTGGTGTAATGACCTACTTGATTTCAGTTAGATACACTACACATTGGGCAATTCCAGATAATATCCATACCCAACCACGGACGGCTTCCATGTTTTAACCCCCCCTTGCCTTCGGAAATTCCAGAATGCGTTATCCCCCCATGTC